TCAACCCTCTGGAGCAGATATGGGAAGGGGGCAGGGAGGGGGGAGAGGGGAAGTCCCACTGTGCAAATGGAAGTTCTTGTGCAGACCAAACAAGGCAGTTGATTATCACCCAGTCAGTCAAACTTCCCCCCGCAGCCGTATAGAGTAGACTTTGCTTCAAAAAATGTAAAAGGGAGTTATCCAGAATGCATACATGCCTTATTATTTATTTTAGAAGATAATCAACATATGCAGAAGGAAGTACAAAGCAAGTATAAAGTAGAAGCGATAGTAGAAATTTGTCCTCTTATATTAAATGTAATAATTATCTGCAGATGACAATTTAGCAACACATGTTACTAAGTCAGAAACTAGTACAGTCGTACCTTGTTTCTCGAACAGAATGATTTTCGGGAGTCTGTTCAACTCCCAGAACCGTTCGAAAACCAAGGCGTGGCTTCCAATTGGGAGCATCCTACAGCCAATCAGAAGCTGCGTTGAATGTTCAGCTTCCGAAAATCGTTCAAAAACTGGAACACTCACTTCCAGGTTTCGATCATTCGGGAGCCGATTTGTTCGGGAGCCAAGGTGTTTGAGATCCAAGGTACTTGAGATACACAGACTTGGCGCGGTGGGAGGTAAAATGAATGATTGTGTGGTTTCAGTTTGGTCAAATAAACGGTTTAGGGTTTGAAGCTAGATGGAAAATTTACAAGATAAATTTCTGTCTGACTTTAGGGTTTCTAGCACTGCATATGTGCTTGCCTCTCTGCTTTCCTCCTCTTAGAAAGCTTCTGAGAAACTATTGAAAAAATCACAATAATTGAGGCTCCTATGTAACATTCCGCAGCTCAGGATATTGGGGAATACAAACAAAACAACAACATCTAGTAGGATACCATCCCTACAAGTAATGGTTTGAGAGGGATTCATATCTATTGACATGTTTTAGTTACAAGGCTGAATGAGAAGAGAGCGCACTACAACCTTGGCTGTTGATTTTGAAGGGTAAATGTTTTACCAGAAGCAACAAGTTTCAAGAAAAGAACTGCTAATATCCTACACAAAGAATTATCTCCCCTTGCACTCATATGGGTAAAACTTTCCAGTATCCCAGGCTAAACGCATGATATGCAGCAAGTCCTACTAATTTCAGTCACAATTACACGCATAAATGTGCTTGGATGGCTGCCATAGATAATGCAGCTTAAGTGCTTGATGTGGCTGTTCAAAACTCTGTCCCAAAGGAGTCTAGCTAATCTATATAAATATGCGCGTGAGAATCAGACTCTGGGAAAAAGCCAGAAATTTCCTTGACTACAACAATCAATGAAGGAAAACAATTCCACCAGAACAGCTGTAACATGTTCAGCGGCTCCTACACAAAGAGATGATGGCAGCCAACAGCAACCTGACCTTCCATAAAGAGGATTATTGGTTTCTAGGCTGGTGGCTGGGAGCCCCCCTCCCCCTTCTCCCTGAAGCTAGCAACTGCATATAAGAGCGTAATGGGGTGGGAGGCCTTTGAAAAAATAATGAACATACTTCTGTCACCATGGCAACCATTACAGGCCTGTTCTTTTGCACAATTCGAGCAGTAAGCAACAAGGACCCCTCCCCGGGTTTTCATACTAACGCCCCTTTAGAAGCACATCCATTCTTAATGGCAAAGGGCTGACTTCCCAATTTCACATCACCTTCCATTTCTCCCTATTATACCACACTGATGACCTGGGGTGCTTCCCTCTATCTGTACTACCCTGGTATTTCACTACCAGCTCTGAACTAGGCTATTGCTCTTGTTGTTTAGTCGTTTAGTCGTGTCCAACTCTTCATGACCCCCGGGACCAGAGCACGCCAGGCACTCCTGTCTTCCACTGCCTCCCGCAGTTTGGTCAAACTCATGCTGGTAGCTTCGAGAACACTGTCCTACCATCTTGTCCTCTGTTGTCCCCTTCTCCCTGTGCCCTCCATCTTTCCCAACATCAGGGTCTTTTCCAGGGAGTCTTCTCTTCGCATGAGGTGGCCAAAGTATTGGAGTCTCAGCTTCAGGATCTGTCCTTCCAGTGAGCACTCAGGGCTGATTTCCTTCAGAATGGAGAGGTTTGATCTCCTTGCAGTCCATGGGACTCTCAAGAGTCCCAGCACCATAATTCAAAAGCATCAATTCTTCAACTAGGCTATTCGTTTCTGGCTAATCAGGCTAAAGAAACACAGAGATGAACGCAGCTCGAAAGGCACACATTATAATGGAGCTTTCAATTATAATAAAATAAGCTAAAGATGCTTTATTATTGGAATGATTCCTCTTAATCAGAGAGATCTCCCAACTTATGAGACTACTTGAGGGAAATGTGTTTTGTTTTTGAGTCCTGATATGTTTTGACCCACTGAAGACAAGTCTATCTATACTTAAGGAATCCAACTTTGAAGCCTAAAGTCAAGAGTGGCAGTCAATATGACCAAAACCATCTCCTTATCAGCACAAATAAGTTGCAGCTTAACCAATTTTGATGAAATTTATTTCAGGCAAATATTAGACCTAACATTTATCCCAAAGCTTTTGAGAAGCCTAAGTTGGAAAACTATGAAACGGCAGCCAACTGAGTATTTTTTCAGGCAGCAATGCAAAATCTGTGCAAAAATACATTGTGAAACAGTGTCAGTCACAGAGTATTAAATGCCACATAGTTTGTTGTATAAACCGGTCTTCTGTGACACTGCAATGCTAAGAAAATAGAAATTTAAACATCCAAAATGATAAGAAAGAGTGTATGGTGCAGCAACCCAATCCAACTCCCTCAGTTGATATGAGCTACTTGTCACTTATGTGGAGATAGAGAGAAAGTTGGGAGCGAGGGGCTACTTTTGTGGCATGCAGGTAAGGAAGAGGGAGAAGCCATTCTGCACTCCAAATCTGCCCTGCTTCTTGTCTGCTTAGCTTGGGCATTTTTCTCTGCAGGAAAAACTCCTGTTTTGACTTCTTGACCACTCTTGTTGTGGTCCTTTTGTTAGTTTTTTTGCCTCTTTACCTGCTTATTTGTTTGTCTTGTCGTTCCTGCCCCCTTTCCTTCCTCTGTTGAAATAAATACCGTATTTTTCGCTCTATAAGACGCACCAGACCACAAGACGCACCTAGTCTTTGGAGGCAGAAAACAAGAAGAAAAAAATTCTGAATCCCAGAAGCCAGAACAGCAAGAGGGATCGCTGTGCAGTGAAAGCAGCAATCCCTCTTGCTGTTCTGGCTTCTGGGATAGCTGCACAGCCTCCATTCGCTCCATAAGACGCACACACATTTCTCCTTACTTTTTAGAAGGGAAAAAGTGAGTCTTATAGTGCAAAAAATATGGTAATTATCTGGGTGCACACCCTAAAGAAATGTGCTGTGCACATGTATGAGTGGAAAGGACTGGGGTGTTTTTTTTATTCTTAACTCCATCACCAAGGTTCTAGTGCTAAAGCGAAAACTCCCTCTTCCCCAGACAAGCCCTCCAGAAGGAGACAGCACTGGTGCTGCAAAGAGGAGATGGGGACAGTCAGAGGGCAGAAATAAAAGTGTGTGTGTGTGTGTGTGTGTGTGTGTGTGTTTTATGTGTGTGGTAGGAGCCACCCCCTGCCTTAGGTGGCACAACTTGTTGTGCTGAACCTGAAGAGGAGGAGATTTAGAAGCTTACTGGAGGACTATTTTAAAAAGTTGAGATTCTGCAGCTCAAATTCTGCTTTTGTTGTACCTACAAGTATGCAGATTACTCAAAACATGTACTTTTGCCTACATGTGTGGATAAATCAGCATGTGTTTTAAAGGGAGTCTGAAATCTCTTGACTCATATGGGAGTTGAGGGGAAAAGAACAAAGACAAGCACCATGACTGCCTAAAGCACAAGGAAGAAAAAGCCTTATTCTTCTGCAAGAACAGCAAAAGCAAATCACTGTGGTTTCCACGGAGATGTGGAAACATGTTGGTTCAGATACCTCAATCTGCAGATTAATGGCTTGGAAGCAATTGCCCATCATTCTGAGTAAAAATTACACCTGGAAGTCAAAAGGCACTGGGAACATTTCTCAACACTCGTACGATTATGGTCACTTTTCAGTTTTATCCAGCACTGTTAACGCCCATCCTAAAAAGGTGGTTAATTACAAAACATAGTCTTGAACCATTGCTAATTTTTTTTCAATATCTAGCAGCTAAACCATTTTTGTTCACAGCAAAAACATATGAGGGGAGGGATCTTTTCCTACCTTGATAGGAAATGTTTTGCAACCATGATTTTTTACCCTCACAAATTTTCCTAAATCTAGGAAATGGCAATGATGATTTACAAGTTTCCCTGAGATGCTTAAGATGGTGTAGACTGCATAAATATAAATTCCATATAGGCTGCAATCCTAACCCTACTTTCCTGAGTGTGAATTCCATTGAATTCAACAGAATTACTTCTGGTATGATCTTAATTGTTAATGAGAAGCAAATAATTCTTTTCTGGGGCCAACTTGAAGGTTTAATAGATTTAGAATTCATTTTATGATTCCTATTTTAAAGACATTTAACTGAATTTACTCATGTTCACCTGCTGCTACCCTCATCTCTTCCCTCCCTTAGTTTCTCCACTGTTAAAACTTTGATGGCAAACTTCTTGGGAGTATGGACTTACTAAGCATCTGTAAAGTAACCACGGCCTTGTATAAATAGTAATTTGGGAAGAGAGAAATTGTAGTACTCCGACAATACAGAAATAAATACAAGTGTTTTAAACGGTGGGCATGAAGAACTAACTTGAATTTATTGAGCCATGCTCAAGTTTAAAAACAGTCCATAGTGAAATGTGGGGGGGGATTGAAAGGCAAGTGAACTATTTCCCCAGAAGCTATGATTGAGTCTTAACCTGTAGCCCCTGAATTCTGCAACGGTTTCTCCTCTGTGTCCCATAAATATACACAGCCAACCGTTCTGAGAAAAAAGATGTTGGTATTTAAAATAGAAGAATCCAACCGACCAGCAAAGGCTCTCAAACCAGTACCTTTATGAGTGCTGTAAAGGGCTGCAAATGTCACCATAAAGAAGGTTGTGGAGTATTTGCCAGCATTAACAAGGTGGGGAAAGGCCCGCTTGGTGTCACGGTATCGGCGCAGGCACTGGACGAATCTCAACCACGCAGGAATGCACTGGACAACTGCTCGCACTCCATAGGCATAGGTGTTGCAGATCTGACCAACTGCAAAAATAAAGACAAGCTTCTAAATGCAAGGCAAAATACGTCCTGTAGTTTCCTCTTGAAATTGCCTCATTTTACCAAAGGAAAGTAGCTTTGTGGTTCAAGCAATGGCCCAACATTATTAATCTAATGCTTCTCCATTCCAGAGATATTTCATATCAATGCCTTATCACGTGAAGTCATGGCATGGAAACTTAGCAAACGAAGCAAACACACCACCAACAATTCGACCACACCACCACCCTGAACTGGACCTTAAAACCTAGCTTATCAGAAGCACCTTCCTATAAACTTTAAGTTCCTAATTAGGTGCTAGAAACAAACACCATTCCCACACACCAATTAAATATGTGGGGTTGTAGTTTTTTTGACTGCATGCCAAATGCCTATATTTGTTATGGTTTTCCACTAAGCAAATAAGCCTAAATTTGCCTGCACATGGCCGTTAATGAAGCTCCCTTCTTACTGACATACCTGGATCTGCCAGCAATGCATCATTGGCTGCCCACTGGAGCTCAAAGCTATAGAAACAAATCATGTATTCAAGGTCCATAAGTATCACAGCCAGACTATTAAGCTGGTCGGCCAGCCAGAAATCTGCAAAGCCCACCTTATGGAAGGGGGCAGTGAACACCCGAAACTGCAAAAGAAAAAGAAAAAGTGTCATACACATTTAGTCACCAGAAAACGTAGTTACAGAAAATGATAGCATGTTCTCTTCTATAGAAATGATCAAATTATCCAGCATTATAGGACAGATCTGTGGCAGTGTAACTATGTAAATCCTTTGTTTATTATATGTTCCTGACTGATAGAATCATTTGGCCATCATACAGTTTTTGGATAAATGCAGCTGTACAGTGTTGGCAATTGGTAATAAAATTGGTAACAACATCACATATTTTTGTAAGGTGAGTGATGTAAAAAGTGAAATATTGTTGAGTATCCTGCCTACAAATATACCAAGTGTAGGAAACGTGTTCAGCATCAAGGACCACCAATAGAAATGTTTGCTGTCAGACACTTCTTCAACCATGATGGCTGGAGGGAATTTGAACTAATAGTAAAAACAGATTTTTCTCTATCTCATCCCATTTCCCCCTCAAGGTCTGAAATCAGCTATGCGCCTCTCAAGCTAGACCATTTCATGCTCCATTTACCTTAGATTACAGCTCTTCCTGCCTGCTTAGTTGTAACAACAAAACGCTAAAAGGGCAACATCAAGATTATCTAGTCTTGATGCTCAGTTGTACACAACACAAACAAGCAGGGGATACAGAATAATGCTTGCATTGTTGAAGATTCAGACATGTTCCAATCAATACCTTGTCGATTTCCTAACAAAAGACTAACACATTTGGCAAATGTGTAACCAGTAAGATCATAGTCATTTAGATCCCCGCCACATCCGAGCTAACTAGTAACAACAGTAGCACATAACTCAACTCAGCAAGTGCAAATTTTCATGAAAAACACCCATTTGTGTGCATGACACACTTACTGCAGACTAAGGCTCTGTACAACCAATTGTCCACATCTTCTTAAAACAGCAGATCTGTGTTTTACCACAGGATGTGTTTGATATCCAGATTTGGGCTTACATTAACTCAGAATTCCACATTATGACCAAAAAGTGTAAAGGTAAAGGTAAAGGGACCCCTGACCATTAGGTCCAGTCGCGGACGACTCTGGGGTTGCGGCGCTCATCTCACTTTACTGGCCGAGGGAGCCGGCATACAGCTTCCGGGTCATGTGGCCAGCATGACTAAGCCGCTTCTGGCAAACCAGAGCAGCGCACGGAAACTCCGTTCACCTTCCCGCCGGAGCGGTACCTATTTATCTACTTGTATTTTGATGTGCTTTCAAACTGCTAGGTTGGCAGGAGCAGGGACCGAGCAACAGGAGCTCACCCCGTCGTGGGGATTCGAACCGCCGACCTTCTGATCGGCAAGTCCTAGGCTCTGTGGTTTAACCCACAGCGCCACCCCTGTCCCAAACAGTGTAGCTTGAGCTTAATTTTAGCTAACGAACAAGGATAGTGACATAAACTCGAGAGTTCCCTGAATTCAAACCGAACAAGGAACTCCAGTTTAATACACACCAGGGTTTGGGCACTAAAGCTTGTGCACAGGAAGGGCAAGCTGTGTGCACCCACAGCTTCATAAGCAATCATTTATGCATCTACAGACAGTCATCTGAACATGGCTTAAGTATTAATTTGCACAGACAAAACCAGATTAGGCTGCTTTCTTTGCACAACTGCTTGGCAGTAAGAAACCACTGGAAAATTTACAAAGGAGCTTCTGAATGAGGCTCTATGAGAAGCTATTGCATATCTTTTAGTTCCGACACCTCTCGCAAATTCCCATGCCAAGAGCATCAGGAGCAAATGCCTTGTCCCATTCTACTGGAAACGGCGCAAGAGCACGAGTGGGCTAGGAACCGCTGTGTCCACAGCAGCTGCGAGAAACAACAGTTGCTAAAGATCCCCCAAACCGCTAGTGCACATAGAACATAGTAACATATACAAATAAGCTGAGAAATTAATTGCCACTGTTGTTACATGCCCAAGGTTCAACCCTGCAGCTTCTGACCTGTGAAAACATGATAGAATGGTTCTGTTTTTATTACCAAGGCAAGAGTCTGCAAGTGCAATTTCTTAACAGTCACTACGATGTGTGACTATAGGGCCATACAAGTGCAGACAGACACTTTAAATAATTTTAAAACTATCAAAATCGCCAGCATTTTCTACTGAAGCGTTTGTACAATATTCTTCATACAAGAATCTTTAACTTCAGCCTGAAACTTTGATTAGCTCATACCTGGAATTACTACTTCAGTAATGACTGCAGAACTGTTATACAGTGGTGCCCCACAAGACGAATGCCTCGCAAGAAGAAAAACCCGCTAGACGAAAGGGTTTTCCGTTTTTGAGTTGCTTCGCAAGACGATTTTCCCTATGGGCTTGCTTCGCAAGACGAAAACGTCTTGCGAGTTTTCCCCGCTTCCCCCCCCCTTTTTCTAACCGCTAAGCCGCTAATAGCCTTTTAGCCGCTAAGCCGCTAATAGCCGCTAAGCCGCTAATCCGCTAATAGGGTTGCTTCGCAAGACGAAAAAACCGCTAGACAAAGAGACTCGCGGAACGGATTATTTTCGTCTTGCGAGGCACCACTGTATCACAAAAGTTTTAATTTTTACTTGCAAAAGAGAATGTTATGGTATCAGCAGTGACTGCTATTCCAAGGGTATCATGCCAACTTAACCTTTTGCTCATTTGCACACACAGTGAGACCCTCAATCATGTTTAACAAGCATTTTGTGTTGATAAGTAGGACAGGTGACTCTTGCCACACATGAACAACAGCACTGAGTCACTGTTTTTACAGTGGAAAAGCAAGGTGTTATTTTATGGGTTTTGAGCATGTCTCAGCTTACCAAGAGTTTGAGCAGCCAAAAACGGGATTTGTAGTAGAAGGTTTTGGTAGGGTTTATGAGAAACAACAACATAAATCCATACAATATAAGTGGGTTTGCCTGCATAGGAACATAGGGGTGACCATATATACATGCCAGCAGACTCAGGCACCACAATGTTCCAAGAAATCCAGCAACCTAGGCAGATGAAATAAAAACACAAACAATTCATTTGTAAAACAGCAATATATTCTCAAATCTGAACTATTTGTTCTGCACTATATTTTCATAAAGGTGAAGATTCCAGATAGTTATAACCCATAGAAAAAACATGGTTGTTGTTTTTTTTTTAAAAAATGTACGTAACTCACTTTATCAAACTTAAGTTACCTGACTACACAAAGTGTATTATGTGTAACTTTTAAAGCACATGGAATTATATTGTTTTGTACACATGTAAGATTTAGATAAATAAACGCCTTATTTTTATTCAAATAATAATTACCAGTAGAAATATTGCTAGACATGGAGCTGCAAGGTGCTGCTATGCATAGCCCCATTTTTGCCACTTGGGAAAATAGAAAACAAACAAGTAGAACCCCTAACAGAATGTTTCACTGCAAGATTCTGGCTAGTTCATTCAATTCTCCCTCTCCAATGTTTTGAATTTTCTCCAACAGTTGGCATTCCATACCCACTGAGTATGCTCATTCCTCACTGGGCTGCTATTAGAGGGGTTTTCAACCTTAGATACAAGTCTGCTGGTATCTCCTTCATGTGTGTGAGTGGTGCCATCTTAGCTACACAAATAATGGCATTTGGAGAATCAAGTTCTCTATTAGTGTATAATGTATCCCTGGTGTGCACGTTAACTGAGTCTGTAGCTGAGAGGGCTGAAAAAACAAAAGTTGGCATCAAAGGCAGGAGACCCTAATCTTACTTTATGTGCATTTTCAGTTTCGTGTTTTCATATTTAAAGGAGCTATCAGTCTGCATGCAAATCCAGCAAAGCATGAAGCTTCTGTATGCAACTGAGTGCTTGATTTGACCGGGAAGGAGGTGCGAGTGGGAAATTTCAGAAGCTTGACCTTTGCTGCAACCCGATAAGTATTATATGTTTTTGACTGGGAATTCAAACCAACCTCAGCTGATTGTCTGAGACTACAGTGTAGGGCTGGCACTCAGCACAGACCTCCATCCAAAAATGGGGTATAAAAGCGAACTATACTGCAGGGGTTGTTATATTCACATTGGGCTACAACAGCAATTGATAATGCTACAGGGTTGTTAACAAAAGAAGAACCATGCTGGATCAGGCCAAGGCTAATTCAGCAACCTATTCTCGCAGCAGCCAACCTTGTCACAATGAAATTCACCATACACTACCTTGAAAAAGCATGCTTGGGGTTTAAAAGCATTATCTCCTGATGCAGAAAAGAGACAATGGATTTCTTGCAGCCTCCTGCTGGATAATGTATTTTCTATTTGGATGGTAAAAGCTTTACAACTAGGGCAGTATCTGAAGAACTACAAGTTGTCTGCATTCATAATCAAGTTCAAGAATAATCTACCTACCGTATTTTTCGCTCCATAGGGCGCACCTGACAATAGGGCGCACCTAGTTTTCAGAGGGGGAAATCAAGGAAAAAATATGACCCCCCTCCAGCTCTGGGAGCAGCGGACAGGCTGCACGCAGCCTGTGCGCTTCTCCCAGCCCTTCTCCCTGCTTTTGCGGGAGGTGGGGAAATTTCCTAGGAGGTAGGGGAAGGGACTGATGCGGCCAGTCAGTCCCTTCTCCCTCCTGGGGAAAAGTGCTGCATGGCTTCTACTGGCTTTTCTAGGAGGTGGGGGAATTCCCCCACCTCCCACAAAAGCCTGCAGAAGCCGCACACTCTTTAAAGGGGCTGCGCGGCTTCTACTGGCTTTTCTAGGAGGTGGGGGAAGGGACTGATGCGGCCAGTCAGTCCCTTCTCCCTCCTGGGGAAAAACTCGCAAGAGCCGCACGGAGCTTGGGGGCTTTTCCCGCCTGCCTCCCCCCTGTATTCGCTTCATAAGACGCACAAACATTTTCCCTTACTTTTTAGGAGGGAAAAAGTGCGTCCTATAGAGCGAAAAATATGGAAACTATATTCCTGACAAAGTGTCCTGTGAAAATTGACACTAGAAAGGTAATCTGTTTTGAAGATGATATATCAGGACGATCAAACAACAGCAAGGGGGATAACAACATCTACTGCTAATTAGGGAGCTCCAACACCCTATTGTACTACTTACCTCAAAGAGATGTTGATGGGACAAATTACTGCGAGGGTTGAGCTCAAAGATGAGGACATGATTCACTCCAGCTTGCCTCCAGCCGTATGTGTTAATCCCAAGGAGAAAGAGGAATTCTATCAGGAGAAAGCCACCTCGATAGATTCTTATGAGTGGCCACACGTTCAATGCTTTCAGAAAAATTATACCTGTCAAGGAGAAGATTCAAATCAAACATGTGCAGAATGGACCGCTCACGGGAGACAGTCAATTTTCTGCTCCCTCGCAATAAAAAAAACATGCTCCTCATCTGGACTTAAAATATCAGTAAAAGGCTGTGCATGACACCACGCAACCTAACCACTGATTAGAACCCACTGCCCAAATACTATGCCTAAAATTAGGACAGCTGAAATTTTGGGCCCAGAAAACCCACATTCTGGGATAATTTACCTTCAACGGGCATACCTGCAGAAACTTAAGCAAGTTGAAATTAACAGCTTTTGCCACACCAGACTTACAAAAGGAGGAAGCTGTGGAGAAATTTGTACAAGGCTAAAAAGGGAGGCCATGGACAGATTTATTTTAGAAAATAAAGAGGGATCTACTCAAGTCAGTAGTTCCTGTTTTAAATACAGTCATACCTTGGGTTGAAGTAGCTTCGGGATAAGTATTTTCGGGTTGCACGCTGCGGCGACCTGGAAGTAACGGAGCGCATTACTTCCAGGTTTCGCCACTCGCACATGCGCAGACGGTCAAAATGACGTCACGCGCATGCGCAGAAGTGGCGAATTGCGGCCTGCGCACGCGCAGACACACGGACGCGGGTTGCATTCGCTTCTGGATGCAAACGGGGCTCCAGAACAGATCCAGTTCGCATCCAGAGGTACCACTGTACTATAGTTGGTGAAGATTCCCAAGCAGCCAGGGCTCAAAATGTTCTTGATAAGGTCTGCGATTGACTCACTAGGAATGAGGCATTTGCAGACAGTGTTCAGCCCCAAATGCAGAACCTATACTAACACAGCAAGGTTGAAGGCATTTCTGGGGCTCATGCCCCTTTCATCACAATGTATATGGAAGGCAGGGCACAAAGTGCAAGTGGAGCAGAGTTGACAACCAGTCAAACAAGCAATCTGCTAACTGGAGGAAAACACTTGCTTTTAAAAGGAGCTGCGTGTCCTGGCCTATGTAGGAAGCTTCATTATCCTGATTGGGTCTGCTTTTCCCGGCTTCATTTGCTCCTATGTACTGTGAACGCTTGCATATGTAAATGGGCCCCCACAGATAATCGCTTTTCCTGCACCTTCAGCCACTAATCTTTGCTTCCCCTCCTCCTTTCCCCTTCTCTTTATTGCTTTTTGAGCTTCTGTAAAACCATCTTTATATTCTTCCATTTCCCTTTAAAAAAAGAAGAAAAATGCATGAGTGAGAGGGCTTCTAATAAATTGAATTAATTTAGTGTGATTTAGATTTCTCATGGCCGGCATCAGTTGTTCCTTGAAGCACTTTAATGTTATCTCTTCAGTTGTAAAATTTAAAACAGCAGTGAGAAAAACTGTTCATCTGATTTTGAGATCTGCCATGCCAAGCAGTATAAAGGATGAGTTCTTGAGAGACAAATGAACATTATTCCAGACATCAAAAGGATGAAGAGGTAAGAACTGGTCAGAATGCTAAATACGAGCATAATAATAATAATAATAATAATAATATAATAAATTTTATTTATATCCCGCCCTCCCCAGCCGAAGCCGGGCTCAGGGCGGCTAACAACAATCAAATAATCAAACAGTCAAATAATCACACATTCTAAAAATATTTCATTATAAAAATTAATTAAAATCAAATTGATGGCAACCGATTAAGCAAGATTCTGTGCAGGTTGCCAGAGGAGGGAGTCAGGCTGCACCCTGACCAAAGGCCTGGCGGAACAACTCTGTCTTGCAGGCCCTGCAGAAAGATGTCAGGTCCCGCAGGGCCCTGGTCTCTTGTGACAGAGCATTCCACCAGATTGGAGCCGCAGCCGAGAAGGCCCTGGCTCTAGTTGAGGCCAGCCTAACCTCTCTGAGGCCTGGGACTTTGAGGATGTTATTATTTGCAGACCGTAGGTTTCTGTGTGGGGCATACCAGGAGAGGCAGTCCCGTAGGTACGAGGGTCCTAGGCCGTATAGGGCTTTAAAGGTTAAAACCAGCACCTTAAACCTGATCCTGTACTCCACCGGGAGCCAGTGCAGCTGGTATAGTACTGGATGAATGTGATCTCGCAGCGAAGACCCCATAAGGAGTCTCGCCGCGGCATTCTGCAGCCGCTGGAGTTTCTGGGTCAGTCTCAAGGGCAGCCCCACGTAGAGCGAGTTACAATAATCCAGTCTGGAGGTGACCGTCGCATGGATCACAGTGGCTAGGTCAGGGCGAGAGAGATAAGGGGCCTGGTAGCAATTATCAAATATTAAGTACAAAAAGAATTCAGCACACTTCAGACTCTTATAAAGAGCTTCTCTGGCACACAGTTACAAACTGCCACAATCTTTTCTAGAAAGTTGAGAAACCCTTTTTTATGCCTAAATTGATTCCGCACCCCCACCTCAGAAGGGCAAATGAAGAACTAAATCAAACAGAAGCTACATAAGATGATACTCTAGAGCTTTTCAACAAATTAAAAATAAATTGACAGACCTAGATGACATTTGCCCAATAATTCTGAAAGAAAGCCCCAACTGTAGACTTTCAAACAATGTTATGTGGTTATGCGAAAGTATTCTACACGTGATCAAAGGCACTATTTAAAAGTTAGTTAGCAATTCCAGAGTTGAGCCCTGGCATAGAAAAGTTGTTGAGCTTATTTCGGGTAAGCTCAAGTGAAAACCCTGCAGTCCCCAGATCCACCTTTAACTAGTAGACTGAAAGGGTTTCGGGGAAGAGGGGAATATAGCAGTATATCACCCGGAGCGACTGGTCTTTGCAATCAATGCCTGCTTTCTCACAGAAATTTTATGTGTAACTTTAAAATCATTTTTAGTATTAATGTTTGATTGTGAGGATTATGCCACCACAAGCCTCATTTGGGATACAAGCCTGTCCCCTTTCTGAACGCTTAAAGTGTTCTTTCAAGTTTGAACTATGCAAATTAACACAAATACACAGATGGTTCTAAATATATCCAGAACTAACAAGAGCTATATGATATGAAAAGATCAATGAGCACATGTTTCACAGGGCCACTGACAAATATGCAAAGTGAAAATAGAATTTTTTGATTACAAAATACAGAGGAACAAGTATGAAATGGGGTATTGAATATATTGGATTAAATATATTGCTTTATGCTCTATGCACATTAAAGTGCCTAAAAACCAGGAGGTACTATACAAAAAAACCTACAAGATGCATACTAGCATATTCAGTGAATCATTTAGCTAGACATTTCAAGTCATGTTAAAATGGCAGTGATGAAAATGTGATACTAGGCCCAATTTGCACAAAATATGTGGAATAATGAGAATATTTTAACTTCAAGAATTTGATGAAAAGTACTTGAAGACAAGCAATTGCCTGTGAATTTCGGAGAACAAACTAATTATACACAAGACCCCCCCCGCCCCCAAGACTTCTGTCTTTTGTCAATGTCTCTCCCCAATGTCCAACACAGCAAGATCCACAGAAATCTGACATGGTTCCTAATAGTTCCTAGCAGTCCCAATAACCTAGTAATCACAAGCACAGAAAGCTTTGCCAGAAGTTGAAGCTACATCAAATAATAAATGACATTAACTTATGGTGAATAATCACCACATGATTAGGTCATTCAAATTGACCCATGGATTCAGGCTGCAAGCGTAGGATGACTAACCTGAAATGATGACTGTAACATTCAACACGATGAATATTCCACAGAATAACCCGACCCTAAAGGTAGTCCATGCTGGGGCAGGCTGCAGATACAAGAGAAAGTTGGTTTAAACAAAATCATATTCTAGTCAGCTAAATTAAACTGTGCTGTTGGGTTGTTGTTGGTTTTTTTTTTAAAAAAAAAGATTGGAAAAATTCTCACAAAATCAATAGTATCTCACAATTTATAACTCTAAACTCCTCTTGGTTTGTTTTGTTTTGAAGACAGATTCCATACTGTCAACTGAGCGAGAGATGAGGGGTCAAGAAACACACACTCATTTGTTCAATCACTACTTATCGTTCTCTGACATAAAACAGCATACGGACACATCCAGGCAAGTGTACGAAGCTCTGATTGGTGCTGAGCAGGCAGCATGTTTTATCTTTATAATGAAATGTCAGGCAACCGATGGTAGACTCCAGGCACTGTAGAAGATGAAACAAGGTGGCTCCCCAGAACTAAGCACCTACCTTGCTGGGAGGCAGGCGTGCCAACTCAAGGGGGCAGAGGTGTATTTCGCCCCCTCAATATTTGTTTGAAGGGCTCCTCCCCAATACTGAAGGGGACTGCTATAATGTTGTGGAAGGCTGAACCGGCCTGTGCGGTGTTGGGAGACGCCGTGGGGACTGGCGCGCCTGGCATGAGGCCACACAGGCCTGCGCAGTGTCTCTTGGCGCTGCAGGGAACAGCGCAGACTAGCAGAAGGCTACATTGGCCTGTGCAGTGTTGGAAGACGGGCGTGATGGGAGCCGCCGCCCCCCAATCTTGAGGTGCCACTGCTGGGAGGGGGTGACTGGTCACTGCAGCACTGCCAGGGGCAGTTCCCATGTCACTGGAAAGCCCACTGCAGAACAGCTGGGGGGAAATGTTGGTGGAGCTCTGGCAAGACATTAACCCCTAGGGACCCAGCCTTTGCCCAAGTATGCCAGGTACTGACACCAGCCCAAACGAGCCTTTTGTCTGTGTCTTAGAATGAGTGACGTGTCTAATTAAGAGACAGCTCCATCAAGGCCTCTGGTACGCTTCATGCTGGTGGGAGTTCTCGAGCTCTTTGCTTTAACTTGTGAGCCTGCATGAAAATAAGCAGCAAGACTGCAAAACAAAATCCGCCCTTGAAACTGGAGAGCACACGAAGGTCAGATAAAAAGCTTCCAGGCTTTAAAACCACATGCAACTTTCTCTTGATTTGGGGACACTTTTCTCTCCAATTATACACTAATAGCTGCACTGTCCTCTCCCAGTCCTCTGAAGCCAAAATCAGAAATACAGAAGTGGAAATGGAAGACGTTGCCTATGCCAGTTCTTATAACTGCATATGCTCAATTCGCCCTGTCACACCAAAAGGCTAAAATGCAGTTGTTAATAATAATAATAATAATAATAATAATAATAATAATAATAATAATAATAATACCCTGCCCATCTGGCTGGGCCTTCCCCAGCCACTCTTAAACCCAGCTAATTTTTCATCACCTGTGCAGCTCCCAGTGGTGGAACACGTAACCGCTTCATAGCTTTCTGTCGGTCTCCATCTTCCAATTCGTTAGTCACCACTGTCTAAAGAGCCAAATAAATAAATAATCAATCATGCCTCAATTCAAGACCTGTTCATTCAAAGATGTTTGGCAGAAGGAAAAAACGTTCAATAACTCAGTTGCTATCAACGATCACAACAGCAGGACATATTTAAAGGTACCAGTTCTTCGGTTTATTCAGATATACCACATTGTTACCATAAGCTGGTTAGCAGCATTTCGAGAAGATAGAAATGCTAGCGATACCCGAGCGAATTTTGTCTAAGGAGAGGAGAAACAAACAGGCCAATGTACTCTACCTCTGTTTCAGAGATGAGCTGGTTGATTTTTTTGCAAGTATAAAACGGTGCCACTTCAACGTGTGCAACTCTCCAATCTGCACCTCGGGGAGTCTCCAGGATCTTGTCATGTTTCTTGAGGATTTTACGGAATCCTGTGAAGTTTAGGTTCTAAAGAAACAGAAAAATCCACCAACACATTATTTTCTTTCAATCTTTACAACAGTAAGTTTGATTTGAGATCAGAGAACAGGAAAAGTGAATCAATCTTCTTGGGGGGGGGGAGCATTTAAATGCCATAGTTTGTACAGACTGAAGCCTGACAAAAAATAACAAATGCAGTTAAATTTAATATTCTGTCCTGTTGTAGGAAGCAAGTCTTCTCATTTACTGACATCAAAAGGAGTCTACACTCAGTAACAGAATGAAATTAAAGACCATCCTATTATTTCCAGATAATAAGCTAGGCAGAAATTGTGAAGGAGTGCCTAATTCAGATTAAATGACACATCTCTGCTACTGAAGCCATTAGTGTTTATTTTGCTAATTCTTAAGAAATCAGCTTTAAAAGAAATATCCATTAATGCCCATTGGGGTTGTCTTCGTAAGCAAAACACTGCATCATGCACATCATGTTTTTAAATTAAGAGTAATCTTTGGCTATAACCTATATTTGGTTGCCTAACAAAATATGATTGGTAAATTAGAATAATCAAGTTTGCCTGAAGGCCAAGCCCTGTTCTCCAGAAACCCTTTAATCCAGAAGGGGTGGCCTTGGTTACCATGGGCTGTTCAACATATTAAATGGAAAACAAACCAGGGTTTGCAAACAAGCATTTACTCCCAGCTCACTGAAGAGTGTACCTGTATCATATATCAAAGGACCACAGTGCAGCAGTAGAGCATCTGCTCTGCATGCAGAACCTTTCAGGTGAAATCCCTGGAACCTCCAACTAGATAAACTAATGTGTCTAGATAAACTGCATGTCTTCTGGAATGCTTGTGTCTCACAGTTTTGTTTTTGGGTGTACATCTTAATATCTTCAACATACACCCCAAAATAAGTAAAGAGTCTCAAATGGCTCTTAATGGGAAAGCCACTCCAAATTTCAGGCATCCAGATATCCAGAGCATGGGCACTTCTAGAAACTAGAAGGTAGCTATGGCTTTTGCCCTCTTTGCTGTCTGCTGCCAAATATATCAAGACTGTTCACTGAAGATTTCTTTACTTGGATTGCGGCTGAAAATTATAAACACCAGAGACTAAAAATAAGAATGCATAGTGACATGTAATCTGCATAGCTATTCAATGCTTAATTAAACCTGAACCAGTTGTTTTTGTTCAATTTAGGGGGGGGGAGCATTGTTTACAAATTCAGTCTTCCATGTCAAAGGACATTTAGAACAGCTGGCATTGAGAAAAAGCAAATACTAAGGATATGTATATCTTGTTTAGTTCATGCTCAGGGGTGTTAGAGGACCAGTAGTACCTCTAGTGGAGCACACGTTATGTTACTTCTGGGGTAGTATGTCAACCTTTGGTCTCTACCCTACACTCAGCTGTAGCTTCTAGAAACTGTCAGCATATGGCAGCAGTCACATCCTAGGAAACTGCTTCAACTGGCCAACTAAACCAGGTGAAGTTTTTTGATGGGTCTCAAACGCTCAGTGAGTTATGGACTTGCCCTGCATGCAAAGACAGACTCCGGTGGATTGAGCGAGCGAGGCCAATAATGGGTCCAACAGTCAAGAAGGCAGTTTCTGAACAGGCTGTGGAGGGAGGTGAGTGGCAGGTGGGGCTTGTCCATGTGGAAAGGTAGCCCATCTAGGAGAAGGAAAACTCTGATCAGAAACATCTGCTGCCTTGCAGGGTATCTTTGGAAGAAGGAAAGGCTAAGGAGTAAAACCTACACCAATCTGGAGTGGAGTCCCTAAGATGGTTGCATGGATTCTTGCATGCCTCCTTCCGGCAACTCCTGCAGCCAAGCTGGTGCTAGTGAAGCCCAGAGTGGGGTCTTGTTGTCAGGGAAGTCCAGGATCTCCATGCACACAGCCCAGGCTTGTGCCCTGAGGAAGTCACTTTGGTGCTGCTGACACAGCAGTTTGAGGTGCACCCCATTATCTCTCAAGACAGACAGATGCCAACAAGTTCGTGTTCTTGTGGTATCTGGGACTGAGCTGAACTGCTAAAAGGCACAAAGATGCACCACTACATAGCTTTTATGCTATGGCATATTTCTCTCTCCAACCTCTTTCTGTGTGGATATGTATATATACTCTGTTGTATAAAAGTTTCTTTTTAACCACGTATCCATAGATTGGTAATGATTATGCTGAAAAAATGATTCCATTTAATGCAGCCACACAAATTCAAGACCAAATTTGAAAGCAAACAAAGAACAGCAGAATACCGTGCCTATGGGAGAGGTTATAAGATTTCAGCTCAGCTGAAATGGTTTCCAATTTAATTATGCCTGGAGTGATTTAATATTGGAGCTTCGTAGTATGGAAAGGAAGGAAGAGAGGACAGGGATATGGGAACAGGAAGCCAATGCATTAATGATCTATATTACTGCCAATGAGAAACCTTAATTACTTTCTCTTGAAGGAACCCAGCATTTCCCTCCCTTGGGGCAGTTGTGACTTGTTTCATAAAACTAAAATGGAAAATGGAAGCAAAATCATGGTTTTGGCCATAGATTTCTCTGTGACAAGTAATTTTGTTTGATGTGGGAGTAATTATAGCTTTTTTACATGTCACAAGAATCTGAAGCTATTGTAAAGCCTATAGTGAAGCTATTGTTAAATCATCATTTGTATTTGAATTCTTGCAAGTGTCTTTTTACTTCAATTGCACTCCAACTGAAATAAAGAGTTCAACACAGAGAATATCAATCTTAAACATTTCAGAAAGAGGAGAAATGAGAGCAGAAATGGTTCTGGGAGCAGTCACAGGGCTGTTTATAGAGCACCAAACCATGGTTTGGCATGCTATCTAAGTGACTCAATTCTAAAAAGCCATTTGGTAGCCCAGGTGTTGCCCTCCAGACGTTGTAGGACTACAACTCCCATTATCCCTGACCATTGACCAAACTGGCTGGGGAGTGGGAGTTCAATCATATCAAGAGGGCACCACATTGACTATCCCTGTGTTTCAGTGTCAGTAACAAATTCTGCTGTCTACTATCCACATTTAGATTATAAGCCACAAGGCAGGACCCCATTTTCATCTTATTTTGTACAGTCAAAGTGACAATAATAGCACTATATGTGTATTTTAGCTAGTTCAACAGTCTTTCCAATGTCCTCTGTTCCTAATAGACATCCATAAACCTACACTGGCCAACTGCTAGTGCCCCCAACCCTCTGGCAAAAAGAGTGCCCAGTGGCACATATCCCCTGAGTCTCTTAAATGCCCCAGAGAAAATACAGCACATGATGACATAAGGTCATTTTAAGGGAACTGTACAGAGATAATATGGCTGCCCCCCATTGTTTTCCAGAGACATTTTGAGGTTCTGCTTTTAAAGTGCATGGCACAAAACAAAGACAGATCACCCAGCTACCTCACCTAATAGTAAGTAGTCCCCCCTCCACACACAACATTCATCCGCTCCCAATCCCTGAAAGGTTATTGATTAAATGCTTGGTGTACAATTCTCAGCCACTTATATGAAGCGATGCTGATGGAGGAAGTGAATTAGATAAGGGCTGTCAATTCTCAATAGCTCCCTCCCACTTATCCTTTATTTTAAGAAACAAAGTACACTGATATGTTGGTTCTAGTCTTAGGAAGGAGCCGATGGAACAGGTCCCTGTCACAGCACCAAGGACAGCTCCTAGTGATAAACTTGCTCCAACAAGAGTGGAATGTGAACTGAGGCCTCCAGTCCATCTCTCCTCCTTTTTGAGAACTAGAGTCTGGCCTGAAGACAGGCGATTTTCTTGCACTCTATGACATCTCACCTAGTGCACTCCCTGCACCATTGGACTAAAAAAGGTAGCATGGGAGACGCTTGGAAGGCACCCATAAGGGTCCTGGCTTTGGTTCTATGGGCCCTGATGCTGTGATAGCTGGGTCAGTAAGCTCCTGCCTGCCAGCCTTGGGTTCAGTGGTCCCCTGATCACCAGCATCCAGTTCAGAGTCAGAAAATCTGTCTGGCTCCTTAGCAGCTGACAATGTAGCCTCAAACTCTGTCCTGATTAACAGGGCCATGACAATCAGTTGAAGTCTGGGACATGGTTGAGCACTTGCTTTTCTCTCTATGCAATGGCTTCTAACCCAGTAATATATTGGAGTGAATGCCATTATTTCTTCTACATTCCTGAAGAGCTGTCGTTGATTCTTAAGGGAAAAGTAAATCAGTGTGCTTGAAGACAATGCTGTAGTGGATATAAAATTTGCTTATCCCAACTCTGGTGCTATAGCCCAGCCTTTCTCAACCTGTGGGTCCCCAGATGTTGTTGAACTACAACTCTCATCACCCCTAGCTAGCAAGGCCAGAGCTCAGGGATGATGGGAGTTGTAGTCCAACAACATCTGGGGACCCACAGGTTGAGAACTGCTGCTATAGCCACTAATAATGGGGACCCCATGGGGAATAATGCCTATCTGCCATCTTGTGAAAGCAATCCCAGGCTTGCAAGGAACAGAGCAGCTCATTTTTCATGCTCCCCACCAATACCAATGCGAATGTGCCACCCACTGTTCCTTCTCAGACTGCATTGAATTTGTAAGAGGAGAAGACAGGACCAACAAGACAAGCACAGCATTGAAGTGCAACTCCTTATACTGGATGGGTTATTACTGCTTCAATAACAACATGCCTTGGAGATATTGCAGGTTCAGTTCCATACCACTGCAGTAAAGTGAATTTCGAGTTACGCAATCTTTTTTGTTTCCAATTGTATACAGAAGTTCTGTTTGCACCATACCATAGTCTATTAAGCCAGCCCCCCACCCCTGGCTGCAGGGACGGAAGGGGGGAAACTCAGCTCCAGCCCTAGTCAGCTCCACTTCCATGGCCAGGCGAGGGGTGGCAGTGGTGGGGATCTCTTCCCCTGGAAGCGGCCGGGCTGCCTGCAGCTGCACCCACATCCTCAACAGGAGCAATATCTCTGAAGCACAGTAAAATAAGGTATGACTGTATGTCCTCAAATAAGTGCCCCCCCTCAATGTGGCATAATGAGCTGACTACACACCTAACAGGAGAAGGGGGAACTTGGCTGAGGTATGTTGCACAGAAAAGAACCTAGGTTATCTCAATCACCGTTTTCAAAAAACACAAATGAGCACCCAGTTTCCGATTTCTCATGCAAAATCATAAGGCCAATGCCATAGTTCCATTTCTCTAGACTGAGATTCAAACCTTTGTACCATTTCCCTTTTAACTGTTCTCTCTCTGAACTATTGGACTGCTCACAGGGACCTTGTTATGCTAAGTTATATTCTTCCTTGTCCAACTGGCTTCCTTCCCTCTTCCTTGCACAATGTTTGCTCCAGTCACAAAGACAATACAAAATGTGCTGTACTGCAACAATGCCTGTGTTGACGCTTTGGTGCCGCAGAAGAACTAACTGTTCTACTGGGGTGGGGCGGGGTTGTCATCTCTCTTTCTTCATCCAAGTCTCCTACCCACCAGGCTATGAAGTAGGCTGACTGCTGTGTTTAGAATGAAAATCCTTCCTTTCCTGCCTGACCAAGGCTTTTGTTAATGTCCATGGCCAAAAATGTCCTGCCCAGATGGCTGCTGGCAGCATTTTGTGTGGCAGGGATTCAAATCCATACCCAAGAGGAGCACTTGAGATTGTGACTACAGGTGTCAAAGTCACAGTCCACCTGCTTATTGGGCTACAGGATGCCTGTAATTGAGAAATGCAGTGGGCTTCTCCTGACAACATACAGGAGGGGGATTGATGGCACAGCTCTGTGATACAGGACATGCTTTGAATGCAGATGGAAAATCCCACATCTCCAATTAAAAAGCACAGGCAGAAAGTCATCTGCCTGAGACCTTGGAAAGTTGCTCCAACCCATAGCTGTCAAGTATCCCTTATTTGAAGGGACAGTCCCTTATTCCAGCGCCATGCCCCCCTGCTGTCCCTTATTGATGGATGTCCCTTAAATGATGTCCCTTAAATTTCAAAGGAAGCAGCTCCTCTCCCTCCCTCCCTGCTGGCCAGGGAGGAGGGAGGCTCCAACTGTGTTGCTTGGCTGTGTTGTTCACCCAATAAGAAGTCTAAGAATGACTGGGGGGTGGAGCTTGCATGTGTGTGGCTAGTTAATGCAAGCTGAGGAGGTTTTTGAATGCTGGACGCCATTTTGTTGCACGTGCTGCTGCAAACTTTACAGTGCAAAGCCAGGCCGGGGAGCCATCTTAAGTTGAGGCTGCATAGGCCTTGTGGTGCATGTGATTCAGATTCTATTCAGTTGAACCTCTGGTTACAAAGTTGGTTGGACAGTGTTCTCGAAGCTACCCAGCATGAGTTTGACCAGACTGCAGGAGGACAGGAAGACTGGAGTGCCTGGAACAGGTGAGGCTGCAGGTCCCTTATTTTGGCTGCAGGTCCCTTATTTTCAAATCTGTAAGTTGACAGCTATGCTCCAACCTAAGTAACTGAGCTAGCTGTATCAGCAGTTTGACGCAGTGGTCTGGTTCACATGCCACATTAAACCAAAGTTTAAAACTCTAAAGCTCCTGTTGCACTGTCCCTAGCTCCTGCTGCTGTCACACAAAGGACAAAACAAGCTAGATTTTGGCTTGCTGGGCCATCTGAAAGGGTTCAGACAACATAAGTAGTCAAACTCTGGCTTGTTTTCATCTGTGGCACAGCATAAATGTGGAAAGAGCACCATGGGAACGCTTGGTGTCACCTATTGCAAAGATCTGGCTTAATCACTAAAAACTATTTGGTTGGAAAGACTAGAAAATAAGATCACAATGCTTTAAGGAGCACAGGTGATACCTGATAGTTCTGCAGTAGGATGAGGCTGAGGTAGAACTCACTAAAGGCCAGTTTCAGGTCTCTGATGTTCCTGTGCTGAACACGCTCCTCATGGGACAGGTGGAAGACTGGCATTTTACGTTGCCGCAGAGTGGTGAGACCACTGTTTTCTCTCTGGGCATCTAAAGTAGACTGCAGTTCATTCTGTAGTGTAGCAAACCTGCGCTGAGCTTCGGCAAGCTTCTCTTTAGAAGGGAAGAAGAAAGCAACAGAGTGTGATCATACAATATTACAAATGACTACTCAGTCAAGTTTGTCAGGATATTTTCTTAGGAACTCTGTATGAACATATGCACATTATGTTGTATTTTTCTAACTGTCTTGACAGGAAACAAGAGTTTAACATCAGCACCTGCAGCTAAAAACTGGAGCTTTCACCAATGAAAAATGGGAGGGGGTGAAACACCCATGCTTTTTATGTTTTGTTTATTACTGCTTTGATGGTGTGTTGTTGTTGTTTAAAAAAAGACAAAAAATCTGGAGGCTTCTTCCCTAGCCAATCAGTGTAGAAGGTGTGCCATCCCACAGTCAATTTAAGTAGTCTATGAAATTCCAAACTCAAATCAAGAGTTATGGAAATGCTTCCAATATTCCCTGAGAATGGAGAACATTTTCACCCTGTCTGCAGGTCTCCAGAACAAATACAAAACACTGGTTTTGAACATGAAACCAGTTCGCTCAACATGAGGGGAAATTCATGACCTGCACTCCCTATTTTGGCTCATACTATTACAAATTGTGAATGTATACTGGAAAGGTTTCAGCCTCTCTATGTATTCTCTGAACTCAACTTAAACCTCTGTCTGATCATTTGTGTTGGAAGAAGGCTGCTTTTAGATTCTACAAATGACTGATGCTGCTCTATGAAGGAATTATAGTTACATTTTATTATTCCTCATTCTAAAGTACACTGGGGGGTGGAGGAGAAACTGGAGGGACCAGAGGTCTCCCTCTGCCCAGCCCAAAATATTTCTGCCAGCCTCTGCCCATAAGCATGGAGCTCTTTCTGTCTGCCAAAAGTGAGGGCAGAAGTACTGCCAGCGGGATTGGCACCAGCAGTAGCCTGGAGAGTCACAAAACTGGGCATATTCCAAGGGTGAGGGCAGGCTGAACTGGTCTGGGATCCACTGGATCCCAAGCCAGCCCCACTGCCATCACCTGATGCCATCTGGCTGAAATTCTACAGCCTATACTCCCAAACCTTTTCACCAGAGCCAGCAAAGCAGTGTGGTTGTGGGAGGGTTAGTAGTTGCACTGCCCAAGTACACTCTGTTGCTGTCCAGCTGGGCTATGCTTGGTCCATACCCATCTTTAAGGGTGACTCAAAATATTGATCCAAATGGCAACTTTATATCTCTAGGAGGTTCTTTGTATTTCACTCTTCTTCTTCTTATTATTATTATTATTATTATTATTATTATTATTATTAAATTAATTAAATTTGTATGCCACCTACCCATAGCTCTCAGGGGAGTTCACAACATAAAATTACAATATAAAATACACAATACTTCAGACTTTTGATTCTTCATCATAAAAGGTGGGAAAACCAGAACAAACATGATCACTGAACTAGTAGGACTTCATTGGGAGCTACAGTTTCTACTTATGATCTAGTCCCTGGACTAAGTCAAGAGTCCCGGGCTGCTTTGGGAGGAGGGCAAGGTACACATTTAATAAATGATAATCAAAATAAATGCTTGTCCTCAGTGCCTATGCTGCTCAGAAAAGAAATCTGGAATCCAAAGCAAGCTTAATATCTGCTGTTTATTAGTACTGCACTTGTTATGACACTTGCTGGCTGTACTATTAAAAGGGAAACCTCTTTGGCTAAGACACAGGAGAAGCAATACCTTCTGGGACACCTTCCAGATTCTGTCACTGTCAGTCACATTCCCAGACTGCCCGAAACTTCCTGACCTGACAAATGAACTTCTATTACTGTGAATCTGTAAGGCTGACTATACAAACAAATTCTCTCCATATAAACAGAAGGTCAGCAGCCAAGGTGTGGTTAGTGTTTGCAATGAAGAGAACTAAATATGATAATTCAATAACCTGTCTGTGAAGGACTTTAACCTGCAGAAGAGATGGTGAACTACATCACCCCCTCTTCCGCAAGCTTTGCTAACTTATTCAAGACTTGTGGGGGTGGAGGGGGGTGAGTGTGGTTCCTCTGTGGTGAGGAGAAAGTATTTTGCATATGTTCAGATGTACTCATGTCTTAATTATTGCTTTGGATTTTCTGTGTAAAACCAGGCTGAGCACTAGCTGTACGACACAGGGTCTCATCCGATCTTAGTTTAGCACTATGGGGCTCACACACTCCCCACCCCCCAGTGTAGCCCATGAGGATGTTGGAAGCTTTTACTTAAAAAAACAAAACCCCTCCTTGTTATATCCAAACTTTGGGGAAGGTTGCCTATCTTAAACTAGATTGGATCTATGCACCCTTCTTATTTACTAACCAGGTTTTCCCAAGTTCAGATAGATGTTCTCGACTGTTTCCAGTGGGGTAAAATTAATAATAATAATAATAATAATATATACCCTGCCCATCTGGCTGGGTTTCCCTAACCACTCTGGGCGGCTTCCAACAAAACACTAAAATACAGTAACCTATTAAACATTAAAAGCTTCCCTAAACAGGGCTGCCTTCAGATGTCTTCTAAAAGTTTGGTAGTTATTTTTCTCTTTGACATCTGGTGGGAGGGCGTTCCACAGGGCGGGCGCCACTACCGAGAAGGCCATCTGCCTGGTTCCCTGTAACGATACGTTACAGGGATACGTTACGATCCCTGTAAGATACGTTTCTGCAGTGGTTTCACAGGGAACCTGTAACACTCTGACATGATAACAGCATCTACAGAATATCCTTGCTGTCTACCCTAACATCTGAGATGGATCAGGGCCATCAGAGGAAAAGTTACAATATGTGCAGCTTTTTAGTTTGGAAAAGAGACAACTTAAAAATGAGACTACAGGGGACATGATAGTGGTGTTTGGTGTGGGGGAAATGGAAAGAGAGAGGTTTTTTCTTTTTGATATTAAATAAATAATAAATTTTTATTTGTGCCCCGCCCTCCCCGGCCGGAGTACACATATTAGAACATGGGGTCATCCACTGAAGATAAATACTGGTCACCGTGCCATATTATTTTAAACCCATATGAAGAGATGGGCTTCATCTTAGAGCTGAATCTGCAAATCCCCCAGCTAGGGAGATAAGAAAGGGAAGATGTCAGACAAGAATAAGTGTTTTGTTTTAAAGAAATGGAAGTTCCACAAAGCTCCTGGTGAACCTTACTTCCTACTTAAAAGACCAGTTGAGTCTGGGAAACCAGTCACAATGACACATATTACACCTGTGTTAAAAGTTCTGCACTGGTTGCCTATCGGCCACTGAGCCAACATCAAGCTTCCGCTGTTGACATTTAAACCCTGAAACTTTCACATATTAGCTCAATGCTATCCTCTTACCTGAATAAAATGTGTTGATTTTGGCAAGTTCCTTTTCACAGGTTTGAAAGAATTTCTCTTCAAACTTGGCAAAATACCTTTTTACAGTGTCTTCATCTGTGACTGGGGGGAGGAGATACAAAAATAAATTTAAATAAATATTTTTGTACAGAACTCATAGCACAGAAATTGATGAAATGCTCCATCTTACTCTTTCATATTTCTCTGATGGAAAAGTTATATGTGAACTAGCAAAATTGTCACAAAAGCCTCAGACTTGAAAGAGTATTATTAATTATTATTATTATCATCATCATCATCATCATCATCATCTATCAGAATTTATAGACCTATCCCCAGAGGTCTCAGAGCAGTTCACAGAAAAAATCAACATAAAAGCCCCCCCAAACACACACACACACACACACACACACACACAATCAAAATAAAAACAACAACCCAATAACACCCCGCTCTTTCTAGTTTACATACCAAGAGAAAACAAAAAGGTAAACTAGATGAGCCCGTGACATACACAATTGGATCCTAAAAGAGCAATTGACACCCCCTTAGCCTGATTTTATTATTGTCCCTTCTTCCCATGTACATTTGAAAGTAGTTTTCCCATTTGTTCCACCATAAAGTGATTTGAAACAACAATCTATATATAAATTCCACCAATGCGCTAAGAATTTGAGCAAGGCAAGCTGACCTCCCACATGAAAACAATGTTTGGCAATCAGCACTGGAACCAATGTTGAACAATTCTTGGCGGTTCCACATGGATCATCATTACGAAAGGACTTATAATGAAGCATGCACACACTCTTGCCCTCTCCAATGGTATGAGAAAAGCAACCATATAATTCCCCCCAAAGAGGGTAGAGAGAATACTTAAGAAAAGTTTAAAGTTTAAACTTAAGTATGAAAATTTCTGGTTACACTTTATAATTCCCCCCCTGACATTTAAAAACTGAACAATGGAATGTGTCACGCAGACATGTTGCTGAACCGGAAGATTTATAAAACAAATGAAAACAGTTTCTGTAAGGAAGGATTAGATACAAAAAAAAACCCCACCACTTCCTCATTGCAAGGGACTAACGTCTTTTACAGGGCTTGATTTTACAAGATATGTTCCGTTTGCAAACGAATATGAACATTTGAGGGTTCTTCTAAGAAAACTCCAACAAATGTCTTTAAAAGCTAATTAAGTCTTTCCTTTCCAATATTACAAAAGCTTAGCAAGAAGAGAGAAATGTTCAACATCCTTAAGCGCAAGAGAGAAATTTTCCATTGTGGAGAAGCAAAACCACATGACGATGACTGCAAGAGGCAGCATGAAAACATTTGCAGAAACTGCAGCAAGTCCTGTTCCTCTTAAACCAGTATGCAGGATGTGTGCATGGGTAAAACAGAACAGAATGAGGTGCACCAGGGCCTGATGAGAAGGATTTCAATTTACACATCTGCAGACCTAAAACTGTACTATGGTAGTGAAGAACATTTGATTAGGGAGATCCAAGTTCAAATTCCATGGCTAAGCAGGGCTCAATACTTACAGGATTACATGGTGTTAAGGATTCATTTTCTTGAGTAGCTGAGGCAAATAAGGGTCAGTTACGCCTTACAAAGTCAGTTCAGACCCAACGCCAGCCATAGTTTAATAACTGGTACCTTGGTTTGCAACCGCTTTGGATAACAACCGTTTTGGATTACAACCACGTCAAACCTGGAAGTGTGTGTCACTTCTTTTTGGATTACAACCCATTTTGGGGGGATTACAACCAATATCGGGGGGAGGCCCCATTGGCGAAAGCGCGGCTTGGGTTACAACCTTTTTTGATTTACAACCGGACCTCTGGAACGGATTATGGTTGTAAACCAAGGTACTACTGTATTGTGGGATCCTGTGCTCCCTCCTTGCTCTGCCCCTCTGTTTTACAAGGCCCCCCTGTCTCCACTGACTTGAAGATACTATTATGTCTGACCCTTACCAACGGTGACCAAAGAAGCTCCTAAGTTACCTTTTGGAAACTAAATTACAGTGGTGCCTCACAAGACGAAATTAATCCGTTCCGCGAGTCTCTTTGTCTTGCGGTTTTTTCGTCTTGCGAAGCACGGCTATTAGCGGCTTAGCTGCTATTAGCAGCTTAGCGGCTATTAACAGCTTAGCGGCTATTAACAGCTTAGCGGCTTTAAGAAAAAGGAAACAAACTCGCAAGAACTCGCAAGACGTTTCGTCTTGCGAAGCAAGCCCATAGGGAAATTCATCTTGCGGAACGACTCAAAAAACGGAAAACCCTTTCGTCTAGCGAGTTTTTCGTCTTGCGGGGCACCACTGTACTGTACACCATCATTGGGTGATCTCTGTAGTAGTCTATGAAAGGTTACATTTTCAATCAAGTCTCACTTTTGTGCTGGATATTAACAGCAAGCAAGTAGCTTTGCTTAAAGCATCACCCTGTCTATCTGAGTATTTGTTTCCCCCCCACTCACACCATTTTGTTGTGGGGCCTCACTTGCATACATCAATAGTGAACTCATTCTTTAGTGTCTATATAGCCAAAATGGCACTATCCATGCAGGGAGGCCTGGTGGAGTCACAAGCCGTACAAAGAATCTTTAGGGAAAGGGTCCTGAAAACGAGTGAGGGGCTGGACCAGCAGAATGAGAAATGAGCCATCTGACGAGTTCCTGGCTAAAGCAATATACAAAGTTCAAAGCTCATTCTCAGCCACTACACAGAATGTGGTACATAGATTTATGCAAAAGCATGAAGGTATTTGAGAGACAAAAGGAAACCTTGAACACAAAGCAAAGCTTTAATTTTATACAAAGATCTCCTCCGCATTCATAAGCCGTAAACATCTAAATGGAGCAGGGTCATATTAAAGCTGACCTGCACAAACACTTTTCATAACGCTTACTTTCTAATCTGTTTTCACACAGATGCCTATTTACTGGCTTTCAACAGGAGCGCAAGCAATACAACCTGCCATCAAAAGGTTTCCCTTTGCTCCCTTGGCAGCTCAATAATTTAACTGTGCTAGAGTAGTGCTGCTCAAGGCTACTGTGCATTTATTTTGTTCAAAGCCCAGGACAAAGATGCAAAAGCCTTTCTAGGATGCCAAAAAGTTGGCTAAGCAGCTCCATGACAATAGATGTAGTTTTCAAAAGGCACCTAGTTGGTTTCCAAAAGAACGCCCTTTCCTTTGGATTTTTTTTAATTCAAATCTTTATAGAGTGCTTGCCCATGGATAGGGCATCTAAGGAAAATCAATCAACATTGCAGGCTTGCTGCTATCTCCCAGAGGTTGCTATCTGGAAGCTGATTTAGTTTGATAGTTTAGAAAAGAACAAAGTGCTTATGCAACAGAAGCTGGAGAAATGTGCCTGATTGGCATTTTATGTTACTTTGATTCATTTAATGTCCTTCTTATATTTTTATTGCATATTTATTTTGTACTAGGAAGTGTTTTTATTTGCTAATGCTTTGCGGTTATTGTGAGAAGCTCAGTCTGGTGGCATACAAATACTGAAACAAAAACACCCACACCCACCCAAAAATCCATCTCTTGCTGCAAAGGCTGACATAGTTTAAGCTCCTTTCTTGCAACATGCAGATTGCAACAGCCCATAACAGGTTACATGGCTCATCCTTGAGTAGCTTGAGATGTCTTATATAGGAATAGTCTGTGCCATTATGACCATGCTACAACCACCCTAAAACCTGCAGCACACCAATGTGGGAGTCATTTAGAGAACTGGTCTCTAAGTTAGTCAAGAGATCATTGTGGGGAAATTTCATTTGGACTATACAGTTTTTCACTTATAGAAGAGAAGAAATGAAGTAAATAGGAAAGGAGGAGAGAGAAATGGGAGGGAGGGAGGGAGGGAGGGAGGAAACATAAAACAGAACTAAAAAACCACAATACACCAATATCCAAACTAGGTCTCATGGCTAAGTTTTAAGTACTAGAGCAACTAAAAAAATTTAACTAAATATACTTAATTCAGCTGCTATGCAAAATTTGTATTACATTGTATTACATTATTCAACTGAAAGAAAAATGTATTGCAACTTGTTCCAGGGCTTCTGGTTTACTTAAATGGGGAAAAATCAGGTGTGTATCTGTTACAGATGTATTGGTTCAAAACTTTTCTAAGTTTTGAAATGTTCAAAACTTTCTAAACTCTACAAATTACCACTCCACTCACATGCATCATAGTACCTCATGTGAATGCTACGGGGAAGGGTTCTGTTCTGTACTCCTTTGACTGCCTTGGGAGAATCAAGTCCCATTCTCCAGTGACCTTAGTCCATGTGCCAGGATGAAAATGCTTCCCATATTTGATGAGTAATGCTGAACTGGATTTTTGGCAAGGCCTGAACCCCAAAAGATGGAAAATAGGTGGTAGAAATGCAACAGTCATAGAGTTTTGTGCGTAACTAGAATTTTAAACATTGTACCCAGGACACAAGTCCAGACATGTAACCAGGTGAAGCAATCTTCCAAAAGCAGCTGCAGCAGGGCAAAATACAAGACTATAACAGAGCACTGTGTGGTCACCCACATTCTATTACAGTAACCTCTGAGCAGACATACCATTTCATCCAGCCTTCATTCAGGCACAAGGCACTGTCAGCTGATCAATGCCACCCAAAGTATGCAGAAATGAATAATCAACTGGGCATATGCATCCCCCAAATCAGCTTTGAGTCGCTTGTACCTCTTGGAGAATCTTCTCTATGAGAAGCAGTTGTTGCGGTTGGTGACGCCCATCTGTCTCAAGAGACAACAGAGTGCACCTCCAAGGGCAATGGCAAACCACTGCATTAGCAGCACAGAAGTGACCTCCCTGGGGCGCAAGCCTGCGCAGTGTATATGAAGATCCTGGGCTGCCCAGACGACAATACCTGCCTCTTGGCCTCACTGATGTGGTCCAAAGGAAAAGCAGAGCAATACATTTGGCACCAACTTGGCTGCAAGAGTTGCTGGAAGGAGGTGTAGGAGGTACCATCCAACTGTCTTAAGGACCCCACTCTGGATTTGTGACAGGTTTAACCTTTAGCCTTTTCCTCCCCTGGAAATCTCCCTCCAGGCAACCAAGGTTTAGGA